TAAAACAAAATCAAAATGGATCAAGGACCTATATTTTTAACAGAATCACTTAATCTGCTGGAAGATAAACAAAACTCTTGAGTATTCATGGGCAAGGACTTTCTGAACAGAATCTCAATGGTACAAGAAATAACACCAAGAGTCAACAGATAGGATTATACAAAATGAAAACACTGCACCAAAAAACAAACAAGCAATGGAGGTGAGGAGATATCTTACAGAATTGACCCCTATTCCTCAGTCAGAAGGCTATTATTTTAAAGAACTCAAAAAAATAGACTCCCAAATAAAAGATCCAATGAAAAATGGCAACTGAAATGAATAGACACTTCTCAGAACAAGTACAAATAGCCAGTACATATAGCAAAAAAATTCTCTCTCTCTCTCTCTCTCTCTCTCTCTCTCTCTCTCTCTCTCTCTCTCTCTCTCTCTGGAAAATGCAAATGCCTCCATCCTGAGATTCCATTTTAGTCCAGAAAGAATGGCTATCCTCAAGGACTCAAAATGCAATCAACTGCTGGTGAGGCTTTGGTGTGGGAATGCAAACTAGTATGGTCACTATGGAAATCGGTATGAAGATTCCTCAAAAAACTACATATAGTAATCCCATTTAATCCAAGTATTACCCTTCTGGCCATCTCGCTGAAAGATTAAATACATTACAGTGATATACACATTCCCATGTGCAATTCATAATAGCTAAATCTTGGAAACATGTCCATCAACAGGTAAATGCATTTAAAAATGTAGCATATATGCACAAGGGGATACTATTCAGTTATAAAAAAAGATAAACTTCATTCATAAGAGGACAGATGTACCTTGGGACTATAAAGTTAAATGAGATGTCATACACAGAAGATTAAATATTGCATGATTTCTCTAATATGTGGAACCCACAATACAAATGATTTAAAGAGCAAAATAAAAGATAATAGAAAACAGGGACATTTGTTCAGATGGGAAGGTGACAGGAGATGGAAGCAGAGGAGGAAGGGGAGGTGAGAAGGACTGAGATGTGGTGTGCACAGGTACCAACTCCCCACGAGGAATATCTTCGCTCCATATGCAACAATGTACTCATAAAAAAATAAATGAGAAGAAGTGCTCTGTGGTCCAGAAACATCACGTTCACCTGGAAACATAACATTGGAAACACAGATTTTCAAGCCACAACCCAGATTTACAGAACTTTACACATTTCAAGTGAGTTAGAGAAATCTGTTTTGCCAATCTCTGCAGGTGATGCTACTGCTGTTCACTGAAGTCGCAGCAGCACTACCGAGATTGGTCTTAGTGCTCAAAGGAGGAATCTGTCCACCAGGGGGCACAGAGTTAGTTCTACTGGATCTGAAGAGGGGACTCCTATATTGTCATTTCATGTTCCTCTGGTTTTGGTGAATAGGATTTTTAAAAAATTTAAACTGCAATTTAAAGTTCAGATTATAAAACAGCCAATGCAATTTTTCACTAATAGTGGCTTTTTATGCTTTCTACACTAGACCAAAATATTGTACTTGTGTATGAGTACATATTTGTAGTACACAATGGCTACATTCTTGTGTGGAGTGGGTACATATACACAACATATCTTGATTCTTCTTACTATTTTCCTTCCTTCCTCCCTCTCTTCTCCATGTCTAGAGTCCCTTCTCATTTGCAAAATTGTATGCCTTGTTAGCTATCTTTTATTTTCTTCTTTAAATTATCTATACTTTGGGTTCCACATGTAAGTGAAGTTATATTGTACGTTAGCTTCTGTGTCTGCTTTACTTCACTCAACCTTATGTGACACAGGCTTGTATTTTCAGTACAGCTCAGCAAATGAGATACAAAAAATTTTATTTGAAAAGCTTGAAGACAAAATAAGACAGCTTGAAGTGGAAGTTGAAAGCACAATTTGGGAAAAGGTACAGGAAGACTGTGGATGTTGTCATTAGTTAAGTCAGAGGATGATGCAAGGCAGGTCAGCATCAGGCCCTTGCAGATTGTTGATATTTTGGTGTTGTTATATGTTCTCTGATCAGCAAGTGTGGTTTGATACTTTTGGATGTACAAGGAAGATTTGCTCTTAAATTGGCCAAGCAATGGGTGTGACTCATCCACATGGTTGACACTGACAAAGGATCTACAATCTGAGGTACAGGGTCTCAGGCTAAATCCTGAGGGGATTTGACTGACCTTATAAGATCCAAAAGCTACAATTCTTGTTACATAGATCTTGCTTTGTCTTGGTCTTAACCATCCAGCAGAAAAGTATAAAAATTAAGTACAAGAAATAAAGCCATGTTGTTATGTTGAGCTGTACGGGACTCAGGTCAACAACTTCTTACATTGCCAGTCAAGTGGAAGACCCAATACTATTATGGACTATTGGACTATTTTGGAATATTTTGCTGAGTTCACATACCTATAATATTTAAATGATGGAACTGAACAAAAAAGGGGGATATAGATGAATGACCATTTTGTATCTGTGTATTCAAAATGGTTAGGATAGATATATAGCTACATTCTCTTAATTCAAGGAATAGAGGGATTTGTTCTAATTGTGTTTGCAAATAGGATATCATGTCTGCATCTTGTACAACAAATAATCACTAGCAAGGCAGTATGCAATGTGTTAATTATTAGAACTGTCCTCCCAATTCAATTTGAAACTGTTTCATTGCTATTTATTTCTCAATGAAATTATGGAAAAAATTTTAAAAAATAAAAATAAATGAGGAAGATTTGCTCTTAATGGGTACTCTTGTTTGATTTCATAAATGTCTTTGTATTGTCCCAAAAGAGACATCAAGCTATTTCTTTATGGTTTTGTCCTCTTGCCACCATGGATAAGGACCTTATGGATGCTTGCACTTACATGGCTATCAGTTCTTTAAGATGATGGCATCTGGTGGCCTCTAGAACTGGCTGCTCTTCAGGGTTTACACCACTAAGCTCCCTTTTGAGTTGGTGTTGTACATTCAGCTATGGAAATTTGGTGGTTGTCATTGATCTGAGATTTTAAAACTTTACATTAATTAAATGGAATTTTGTTGAGCTTTAGAAAAGAAGGAAATTTTAACATGTGACAACATGGATGAACCTTGAAGTCATTGTATCAGTCAAACAAGTAAAAGGCAAATTATATACTTCCAGTTACATGAAGTACTTAAGGTAGTTAAATTAATAGAGAAATTAAGTAGAAGGTAGTTATCAGGGGCTGGGGGAAGGGAGTAATGGATGAAACTATTTAATATATAGAGAATTTCAGCTTGAGATAATGAAAAACATTCTGGAGATGAACGGTAATTATGTTTGCAGAATAATACGAAACCAGGTAATGTCACTGGATTATACACTGAAAAGAATTAAAATAGTGAATTTTCTGTTATATACATTTCACTACAATTTTCAAAGAATGACAATAAAAGTGTAAGGTATGCAAATAAACCACTAGAGGAAAAGAAAGAGAAAAAAACATGTGCAAACATGGTATTTAAAGACACATTAAAATCTGTAGAATAAAAGGTAAGCTTTATAAAAGACAAATGATGTTCAAGTGGATATTTCTATGGTAAAAGATAAAACTTGATTCCTTTGTCACATAATACACAAATTAAATTGTAGTTGAATGACACTCTTAAGCTTTGAAGGCCAAACTTTAAAGCTTTTAGAAATAACTTGTACTGATATCTGTATGATTATCAGTGGAAAAGATTTCTTCTTAGGACTGCTGGAACAAACTATCACCATCTGAGGGTGACTTTGAGTCCAGGAATTTGTTACCTTACACTTCTGGAGCCCTATGTGTAAAATCAGGGCGTTTGTCAGACTATGGCTCCCGAGATGCTGGTAGGACCCTTTTGTCTCCTCCTCGCTCCTGAAGATGACCACCCAGCCTTGGAGTTCTTGCACCTGCATCACTCTAATCTCTGTCTGCTGTACCCAACAGTCCCTTGTCTGTACCCATGAGTCTCTTGTCTGTACCCAATGGTCCCTTCTTGAAAGAACTTTTGTAGCGTATTAAGGAGCCATCCAGATCCACTATGGCCTCATCTCAACTGATTATAACCTGTTACACTTATTTTCAAATGATAGGCGAGTACTTTTACTGCCATTTTCTTTTCCACAAAATCCAAGTATATGAAAAACATCCTTTGAAGGACTGCACAATATGGACTTTCATTTGAATATTGTGGTGTGTGTGCATGTGTGTGTGTTTTGAGGGGAGGTGTCTGCTATGTTGACTAGACTGGTCTCAAACTTCTAAATTCCTCAGAACAATGGTTTCAAATAAGGTTATATTCTGAAGTTTTGGGGACTTCAGCTTACCTCTTTCAGTAGACACAACTCAACCCATAACAAAAGCATTAACTTTGAGGGGAATAAGTGGTACATCTGAGCATACTAAACCGAAACGAGCAATTTCTCTGTTCTGCATGATGTACCAGAGAAAAGATATAGTGAGAAAGAGATCAGATCTGTTTTAGTTTTCATGATACTCTAAAATGAACATGAACACATACAAACCAAAGCAATGTATTTAACATTGATATTTTATTGAAAAAGTTATATACATGTTAAAGTTGTATAAAAATAAAGTAAAATGAATTATTTTCAATCCCAAGTACTGTGTTGTTTACAAAGTCAGTTCTTGTTTTAAATCTTAAAAAAATGTTTTTCTTCATTTTAAGCTTTTAAAATCCTCAATTTATCTCTTATGTACTTTCTGTAATGATAGGTAGTCATTCATCTGAGCATTCCTTACAAGTATATTTTGTGTGGGGACTAAAGTCAGACGCTATATATACAGTTGTAGTCATCATGAAGTGTGCCCTGGTATCATGAGAGAAGACAGGCTTTCAGCAACAGGGTAATAATCTGTTAGCATGTAAGGTCCACATTAGCATGATGGAAAAATAAAGGATGAGGCAGTTGGAAGGACTGGCTGTTGACAGTGGTTGTAAGACTAAATTCAAAGGCGCTTTTATAAAAAAAAAAAAAAAAAAAAAAAAAGGCCCAGGTGACCCACGCACACCACAGAATGCTTTGCACCTAGCTACTGAAGCAGTGGGGAGAGGTATATTCTGGCTCAAGGCTCTGCAGTTCCAGTGCAAGGTCTAGAGGTCTCATAGGTGCAGAGACAGGTGCGAGTGGGAGAGTGAGCCTTCACATTTGGATCCAGAGTGACAGTGGGGTCCCCAAATGCCTGGCCCATTTCTTCCCCTGTTCAGAGGAGTCACTTCCTCCATTCCGGTGATGTTGGCCAAGCTGACTTTTGAAGGTGAGAAGCACAAGCTGTTCAGAATTTGTTCCTGCTTCAGAGATGTTAAAACTGTGTATTTTGGAGACTTCCAGTTGTGGTGCTCCTCTTCACAAATTCTATACATCTTCATCGTCTTTTGTCTTAAAGAATGAATCTTCACTTTTAAGTTATTGCTGTTTCTTTCCAGATCGTTTAGTTAATTAAAAAGGTGCCAAAGAAACTGGCTTCTTGGTCCAAGTCAATCAAGCTTTTATTAGTCACAGAGACAAAAATTCTGTCATTTTCTTTAAGCTCAAACACACCTCCCTGATAGATGGAGTACAGTCCATACTCTGAATCTTTGGACCAGCAACTATTTCTAGCACTCTTCATCAGCATTATAGGTTCAGGATAGTTCGTGAATTTGTAAATATATTGTACCATTTGTTTGTTTTTCTTTCTGTTCTCTTCCTTTGAAATTATTCCTGAGTTTTCTTCACTTTCTTGAAAGCGAAAATATGTCTGGGAGTAGATGTAATAAAGCCCTGCTTGGTGGATCACCAGTTCTCCATTCCTCAGGTGCAAATTATTCAGGAATGAATGTCCTTTCCTCGATGACTCCCAGTGTTGCAGTTTGTGGCCCAGAGCCTTTTCATTCTTGGATGCTGGATAAGAATCAGAGATGAAAGATTAGCAGAAGAGAATTTATAGAAAGCCAATAGACCATTGGTAGCTGTTCTCAGCCCATATGTCTGTTGGTCTTAGATTTCAGTTTAATGTTAAACTTCTCACCCCTTAAATCTTACATGAATTACAAACTCTACTAGTACAAAATCGGTAGGCTCCTTTATCACTTTGACTTGCTGGGTGTCTCTGGCCTTTCTGTACTGCATCTACCAACTATGCCAACACTTGACCCACTCAGCTCTGAGTGATAGCAGATTCATGAATGGTAGATGAAGGGTGTTACTCCTAGGCAGACCTGCTATCCTGAACCCTCCCTCTCCTTCCTTCCTGTGTTGGTCAAATAAAATGGGGAATCTTGAAGGAAACCAAAAGAAATATTATAATTTCCTTAAGTGTAGGTCTCAGGACATTTTACTATTTCCTTGGGACTTTTGAGTTCATCTATGGCCTTGCTCCACTCCCCAGAGGCAAAAGTTGCTCTCAAACAGAAGGAATCTCCAGTGCAAAGTGAGACAGGAATAAAGATTAGCAAAGCAGCCCTGATTTAACGATCCTCAGATCCTCAAGTCTTAACTCACACTTTGAATAAAGAAGGGCCCTATAAAAATCAATCTTCTTTTTTAAACTTTGGGGTCATTTCCATGAGTGGTACAAAATTTAGCATTTCAAGATTTTCAACTGTGTTTATACTTGTTGATGAACAACAAACAGTAACATTGCAATAATCACCCTACTTTTGAGCAAAGCATGTCAATCATTTCTAAAATATATGTTCAGGGATCCAAGAGAACTTTGTGAAGAAAAAAAGATAGGAAAGAAACTTTTAATTTATTAATTGATATTTCTGAAATTTAACTTGGGACAAGCCTTTTATAATCATAAAGATGACTAGTTATTGAGTCCTTTAATAAAAACAATTTGCATGAGTTACTGTTAATTTTGTATCATTTTCTGAGTTAATAATTATCTTGCTTTGTACCTCAAAAAACAGAAGCTTGACTTGTTTAAAGTTTGCTGTTGACATACAAGGAGTGGTCAAATATATATGATAAATGTTTAATTTTTTTTAATACAGGGTCTACAGGGTCTTATTAGTAGATCAGACTTGAAGTGATCCTCCTGTTTTCAGCCTCCCAAATGTTGGGATTACTGGTGTGCGCCACCAAGCCCAGTCTCAACCACCTTCTCAGTGCACCCCGGGGGCAGGGCCAGAACGGCACTCCAGGGATTGTGAACCCCGACCACTGAGCTCTGCCTAAGCAGGAGCTTTAGTCCGCTGAGCTATCTGGCTGGCTCTGAGTGTTTAAATTTTTTAAAGGTTTATTATTGTAAAAGACATATTGTCATCAATCCTCCTCAAAATACCCACCCTTCCTTTGAACACACTTGCCCCACTATACCTGTCACTCTCTGAAGTAGTTCTGAACGTTGTCTTTCGTCAGTATCTTTACTGAGTGTGATTACAGAATGTGGTGAATGATGCTGCCCAGAGCTGTCCCAGGGAGAGGCAGGCTTGTAAATCAGAACTGGGGTGCCCTTGTTCGCTTTAAGCACAGATCTGGCACCAGAAGACGTCTGGCTTTTCCCCAAAGTCATAAACACTATGAATGGATTCAGGATACCAAGGCAGCCACCACAGTGCAGCTAAGGACCGTCACAGAGGACTTCCAGACCTCTTCCATAAGTGGCAAGAATAATGGGATCAGTATGTCCAAAGTGAGAAAGAATATTAATGGCTATGTGTCATTTACTGTAATAAATTTTTAAAATCCAGTATATTTTCTGATTATAGCACTTGTGTAGGTGATGAGGAGCTGAGTTCCAGTGTGAACATTTATAGACCCTTGTGCCACGCTACAGTACTACATTGACATCTGGTCCAACAGAGAAGAGTTAGTCTTAATGTATTTTGTTCAACTGTGAACCTGACATCTTTGCAAGTGAAAAACAGTCAAATGTTGGCGATTTGGTGTGGTTCAACTTAATCTAACAGCCAAGAGGGGCTCCTAGGGACCCATAACAAAAAGAAAAGATTTAGAACCTTTGAAGAGAAGATTTGATGCAAATGCAGAAGAGGAAGAGTGCAGTGCAACAGAAGAAGCATTTCTAAGAAAGTGTGAGAGAGAAAGAAATTGAAAAGAAAAAAGACAAAGCGGAAGCCCAGGAATCTCAAGGATAAAATTTTTCCCATTTCATACGATGCCAATTATACATCAGCAACGAAGCTCTTTGTCTGGAATTTTGCTTCTGAAGAATCGATTTGAGATTTGACTATTACTGACCATTTTATAGCTAGCCACAGCACTACAGCTGCCAAAAGCTTAAAAACACAAACTTGGCGTAGCTATTCTTCTATTGCCTTCCTCCAAGTTAGATTTAATTTTTTTCTTCATTTTGTTACTGAGTTAAACGCCATGCAGGCACAAGCTAGGCAAGTGCCCTATCACAGAGCTCATCTCAAACCCTAAAGCAGAGGTTCATTGTTTCTCTTACCGAGGTCTAAGGCCTTGGAACTTTTCCGCGTGGTCCCTGTTACATGAGCTGCTGCTCCTTGTTGCAACCTTCTGTCTCTCCCTGGGGTAAGACTTAGTTGTTGTTCTGAAAGAGAAATGGCAAAGAATTATCAGCACTTGCGAAGCTGGCTTTCAAAGTACATTGTTGTTCACAGCTTTTATCACTCAGGCATTGGAAACACACTGAATTTGCAAAGTTGATCATGTGGGTTTTGATAAAAACAATCCATATTTGAATATGATGACCAATCTACTTCGATTTTTATTTAATTTTCAAAGTGCTTTAGATGGAAAGATTAATCAGTGATGTGGATTAGATTGTATCAGCATTTCAGAGGAAAGGTCCAAATAAATGAAACACAACAAATTGGCTTCTTTCAAAAACAAAATAAAACAAAAGTTTAAGAACTGTGGACTTGTAATAACTCTACTGAGGGAATTACTGTGTTCAAAACCCAAGTATTGGCAAATTTCTACTTTGAGTTGTATGAAGAAAAAATTGGAGTTGTACCAATTTTTGTCATTTCAATCTTCCCCCCCCTTTTTGCTAGTAGCTACTGCAGATTCTAAAGGAGTAGCAGTAGTAAAAACTTTCCATACATACTACAGTCTGATACTCAACAACCCTTCCAAAGCCCCTGTACCACCACCAAAAAAGAGATAGGAATTGACATACTAGCCACAAAATTCAGAGTATGAGCATATAAATTATTGATTCACTAGATTGTAAGCAATAAGATGTCTTTGTCTCCCATCCAGAATACTGAGGGCAGCCTTGCAAAAGAACAAATCCTGGGCCAGGGAGGTGGCTCAGTAGAATAAGCACTTGCCTGGCAAGCACAAGGGCCTGAGTTCAGCCCCTGGTTCTGCAAAAAAAAAAAAAAAAAAAAAAGAACAAATTCTATAAACTTCTCTCTAAAATATCTACTCAAGTTTCCCAAGTGTGCTTATATTGGTTCTTAAAATCCATTTTAGTGTTTTTATCAAATAAATAGTACTAAGGTACTATGCTGTGCAGTGCAGGATTGCGTAGACTAATGACTGACTCAGCTGACCTAGTCCTTAGGGACTTACAACAATTTTTGTAAGCTAAGAATTAGTAAGTGACAATTTACCTAGGAGAAATAGAAATGAAGGGTGTCAGGTATGCAGAGGAGGGAAAGATTCCTATTTATTGGGGAGCTGAAGTGAGGGGAGGCTATGTGGAGGAGAGAGTACTAAGAATCTTTTCTTTCATTTTCTCCAGTAAAGCAAAATGCTCACTACAACTGTGCCTAGTACTCCTCTAGGGTAAGGAGGAAGATTATAAACAAGCAAATGCAGAAAACTGTTAGGTATCCAGGGATAAGTGCCAGAACAGGCTGAAGAGAGGAGAAAAGCATCCCATGAGCTGAACTGGAGGCCTGAGATAGGGTACACAGAACATCCATTGGGACATAGGCCTAGGAGCAGCTGAGTTTCAGATTTGAATGCAATGCTGAAGTTTAGAAGATATGGTGTGAGGTTAAAAAGTTTGGACTTTGTGGGACCTAGGGAAATGGAACAGTGCTATTTGGGGGAAGTAACGAACCATGTTGTGATTCAGGTTAGGTGTCACAATTAGGTTTGATAGCCAGAAGGTGAGAGGGCTGCAGACTAACAGATATGTTACCAGATGATTATAACTGATTGGAATGGGTTAACAGCCTAAATGTAGGCTGTTGTACAAGGATTTTTCAAAAGGAGATGATAACATTGCTTAGAGGTGAGGCCAGGTACACAGCTGAGTGGCATAAGTGTCTGCTTGGCAAGTGCAAAGTCCTTCCTGGTACCAAAAAAAAAAAAAAAAAAAAAGTCTTAGAGGAGGCATGAATAGAAGATGAGAAATTTCTTGCAACTCTCTGGTATTGGCTGTAAATTAATCAGGATGAGTGGGCATTTATATCACACTGAGGACAAAGATGCATAGCTAGTTGCACATTAGTTTCAGAATGCCCGCCTTTCAAGGTTGGCATGTCCATTCACCTTCAACCTTGACTGTTGAATCATTCATGCTGCCGGCCACACACATTCTAACCCTTAACACTTTGCTTGCGATATTCAGAACTGAATCCAATTTGCACTTGAGATCATGGGAAAGGTATGGGAAAGCCTCGACTAGAAAGCAAATTTGAGAGAAAGGAAATTTCCAAATGTTTATGGCAAACACTTCCAGAAAACAAAAACAAAACATGAATATGTATATTTGGCTGTCAGGGTTGCATCTCGATATCCATAGTAGAACATGAGTTCAGTGCTGGGTCCCACTTGCTGCGCCGGCCCTGTCCCCAGGTGGGGACTGAGCAGGACACCGAGTCTGGACGTGGTGGCACGTGCCTTTAATCCCAGTGCTGGGGAGGCTGAAAACAGGAGGATCACTACGAGTCTGAGCTATGTAGTGAGGTCCTGTACCAAATAAAAAATAAAAAAAAATGCAGAGTAGAACATTATTTCCATGCCTCACATGGATGAATGAAAAAGAAAATGATCCTCTGACATGGACAATAGCATGTGTATCCATCCACTGGAGGCTACAGCCCTGATTGGTCTATCAGAACAGGTAGCATGTTCAGTACTCTCACTAGGGCATTGACCTTTGGGGAAGCTATCAGAATGTATGCTTAGATCCCACGGGCAGGCCTTGCCTTCTTATTTGATAAAGGAAAATAGGGGTTTTCAAGTGGTGAGATTAAAAAGTTTCATTCCTGTTAAGTTTTGGACATATGCATTCAGGCTTGCATAGCCATTAGTATGAGAAAATGGGAATAGATAAATTGCTTGGAAAGATATTTTATTTGTTTACACACTTATTCATTCCAAAAGTCTAATTAAAAACCTTCCAGGCAGAGAAGTGGCATTGGTATAACATTTTGCATACACCAATTATATGGAATCATGTACTTCTAAATGATTGGTTACGTGTTATATGAATTTCAATTCAGTGACAAAATATATACTTGGGTACAAACACATGCAGAGAGAGAGAGAGAGAGAGAGAGAGACAGACAGACAGACAGACAGACAGACAGACAGACAGGAAACTATCAAGAGAAAGAATCTAGTAGGTCTGAGACTGAGTATTAAGAGATAAAAAAAAAGAGTTTTCCATCTTTGAAGATATTTAACCTTACAGAGAAGCAGAAACAAGGTATATATGATTGAAATAACAAGGCTTAGGGAACTTGTTTGGAAAGGTGGCCAGGAAAGGCCTCTTGGAAGGAAAAGGAAACAATAGAGAGCCAAAAAGGAGCAGGAGGCGCCTGGGAGAAGGAGCCGGATGGAGGGCAGAAGACTCCAGTCTGGGCAGCCAACCCAGGGAGCAGGGCTCAGTGGAAGGCTGCTGCCCTGCGGAGGACAGCGAGTGAGCGTGCAAAAGACCACAGCGGAAGCTGGCGAGGGGCGAGGAGGAAACTCGCTGAGGAGGTACAAGGCGGCAAGAGGCTTTTGTGGGAAGAGAAGCAGTGTGGTTGTGGTTAGAAGCCCTGAACATGGGTAACTTTGGGGAGATTTTCTTTGTTTTATGTTTGGGATATTCCAGAAAAGATTTAAAAGTGTTTATTTATAGCACATTAGAAGGTGAAATAAATAAATAGACTGAGATAAAGGGGAGAAAAAAAAAGAGGAAGTAAAGATCGACCGTAGATGTGTCACAGAGTTGGTTCTGAGCTCTCCAGCAGCCAGTGCAGAGCTTCAGTAGGATCAGTAAGTGGCTTGGGACCACAAGCAGCCGGCCAGAGGTGGGACGTGGGGATGGGAGCAGTTAGGAGGACAGAGAACCATCCACCCCCATGAAGTTAGCAGTAACAAGTTAAAATAACAAAAATTACTACCTTGAGATGTAGGAATGGTTTCCTCAAAGGTTGTCGAAACCATCTGCAAACAGTATTGAAAAAGCTTGTTAATCTCTCTAAACATTTTTTACCTGACTACAGAATGTCTAGGCTCTTCTTGCTCTGCCTAGCAGGATATTTCTACATAAGACATCAATCTCAGAAGCTTTGCATTGTTTAAGCATAAGGTTCTCAGTGGGGAGGGAGCGGGGTGAATGTTAGGATCTCTTTCCTTATGCAGTGATTAAAGAACCAACCCTGCCTGGGGATGTTCTGCATCTGGATGAAGTCTTTGAAAGGTCCGGGCAAGAGGAAGGGACATCTGACAAGTCAAGTCAGCCTAATGTCCCCCAGGCTTCCATGTGGCCAGTGAAGGAGGCAGACATATCATATTACTTTCTGTGGGGGGGTCTCTGTCTGGGTGCACGCTTTTGTGTGTATACAATCCCTGTACAACACAGCCCATGCGTGAAATCATTGGACAGACCCAAGCCTTATGTAAAAAGCACATTTCGGCCTTATGCTACCCATAGACATCCAGCCCACCAATCTATGACTGGGTGACAGCACCCTCTTCTTTGTGAGGATGTGGCTGAGGCATTCATGACCATGGTAAAGATATGATACCAAGCTCACAGCTCTTCGCTAATGACTGAGGGAATTACCCCAAACCAGTAAAAAAGTGAAAACTAAGGTTTTCTATTAAACAAACAGAACTCGACTTAGCTTATTGACAGCTTTTTATATATTTTTGAGACAGGATCTCATTGTGCAGCACAGGCTGCCCCCAACCTCATGATCCTTCTGCCTCAGCCTCCCAAGTGCTAGGATTACAGGTATCCCCGTGATACCAGCTTTTTCCATGGCTTCTGAACACTGTTCTCTCAGCTCTGTCACCCTTGAAAACTTGGGTTGTCGCTGTACTCTTCCCCTGTCACTGCTTAGTTCTCTGTTCTCCTACCCAGGGAAGCCCTGTGCTCCCTCTGCCTCATGCCCCAGAGGAGTGCTCACTGAAGTCTGAGAGGGCTGGGGTGTAGGAAAGGGTGTGCGAGGGAATGTGACCTCTTCCCCCTCTCTCTTCTCCGTGGGTCCCTCAGTCTTTCTCACTTTTGCTCTTTTTCCTCTCTCTCTCTCTCATCTTGGGACAGAAGGAAGGGAGAGGAGTGGGGAAGGAGAGTGAAGCCCTTCTTGCCATGTTAGAAGCAGCATGGGAGAGAGCACCAAGCGGAGTCACCTGGAGGCCAACAAATCCCCTTTCCTGGCTCTGTGAGACTGCACGAGGTGCTTAGCCCATCTCACGTGCACTTCGCCCTCGCTTTAATAGTGTATAGAAGAGGCTGACAGTGCTGTGGTGAGCACGTGTTGAGACGCTCTACAGAATGAAAGCAGGACCTTTGGGGAAACAAAGCTTTACTAATGGGCCCGAGCAGAGTGGAGAATCCTTGCCTCCTCCTTTGCAGCCTCTCCCTGGCCCCTCCAACTTCTCGGTGCTTTAGTTGATGTCTGGGAGGGAAAGAGAGGACTGCAAGCAAATTCTATGTGAGGTCCATCTGCACCACATCCCTGGCCTCCCCACCACCAGCCGGGCATCTGGCGGGCCCCTCAGTCTATAGATCTCTGCCCCACCTCCAAGGGCAGCTTCTCTGCAGAGAAGTTGGTCGATGCCCAACCCCCGGGGCCCAGGGCCTTCAGTGCTTCACTTCTCAGCCTAGACTCTTGTTGGTCCTCATCTCCTGAGTGGTCACGGCTCTTTCACTACAGCTGTGTACAGTGGGTGGCCCAATCCAGGCCATATTTCCAGGGAAGTCATAGGGCAGATGCGATCCTGGGATGCCCAGGAGGAAAGCCAATTTCATTTCCATAGAAACAGCATCATAGGTGTGTTCAGACCTGTGAGCATAGCCCAGGACTCCATAATCACCAGTAACATGCAGCTTCCAATGGGGAAAGTGCCCGATTAACCATAGACTTAACAAACCAATCTACAATACATCCTCTTCCCACCCTGGAAGTTCCCCTGGTGTATCTTTAGACAATGTTTGCATACACAGGGCTTCTTAGGTCACAGAATATTTTTAATATCCATGTTCTCATCTGACCTTTTCAGGAAGGCTAAAGGCAAATATTACTAAGTACCACCTTACAAAGAAGAGATTGGTCAGAGAAAATGTTAATTTGATCTATTACTTTGCTAAGGGTGAAATCAGTTAACCATATTTAGTAGAATTAACTGTTGGATAACACGATGTTTCTGCGAGGGATCCTGTTTAAGCAATTTCTATAAACAGATTTGTTTTACAATTTGTCATTTATTAATTTGTAAATTAAAATATCATCACCTTTTATTTCTTTTTTCTTTCTTTTTTTTTTTTTTTTTTTGGCAGAACTGGGGATTGAACTCAGCCCCTTGCGCTTGCCAGAGAAACGCTTATTCCACTGAGCCATCTCCCTGGCCCCACTTTTTATCTCTTAAGTGTCTCTTTTTCCTCCACTTGTCATTTCTATATAGATACAAAACAATAAATAAAGATATATTTAGTTTTGGATATCAATAATATGGGAAGAATATAAAACATTATTATTTGACTTTTTTAATATTCTGAATGAAAATAAAGAACTAAAAAACACCAGGGCCCCAAAATTTAAAGACCCAGTGCAGAAATGGGCATCCGAGATGAACACATGCTTCTCAGAGGATGAAATTAAAGAAGCGAATAAATATATGAAAAATGCTCCACATCACTAGCTAGCCACGAAATGCAAATTAAAACAACATTGAGATATCATCTCACCCCAGAAAGAATGGCTATCATAAAGAAATAACCCAACGACAAATGTTGGAGTTGGGGGTCGGGGAGATGGCTCAGTGGAATAAGCACTTCCCTGGCAAGTGCAAGGGCCTGAGTTCAATCCCGGTTGTGCAAAAAAACTAAACAAACAAAAAAACAAAA